TGTAGTTAGTAGATATATGTCTCGCCCAGGTAAAACACATTGGCAGGCTGTGAAGTGAATTCTCAGATACTTGCAAGGGACTTCAGATGTTTGTTTGAAATTTGGGAAAAATCGTGATACTTTGGTTGGTTACGTCGACTCTGATTATGCTGCGGATCTTGATAAACGAAGATCTTTGACAGGCTATGTATTTTGCGTTGGCGGTTGTGCAGTTAGTTGGAAAGCTTCCTTACAACCTGTCGTAGCTTTATCTACTACAGAGGCAGAATATATGGCAGTGACAGAGGCGATCAAAGAAGTTTTATGGTTAAGAGGATTGTTTAGCGAATTATGTCTGCATCAAAGTGTTACTACAATTTACTGTGATAGTCAAAGTGCTATTCATTTGACTAAAGACCAGATGTATCATGAGAGGATAAAACACATCGATGTGAAGTTTCATTTTATTCGGGATATCATTGCTGAGGGAAAAGTCCTTGTTCAGAAAATTCATACGAAGGACAATCCAACTGATATGTTTACGAAGCCTCTTCCGGTTTACAAGTTCAAGCAGTGCTTGGACTTGGTTGGTGTTCATTGTTGATGATTGCCCGTTGGGGCTTTTATGAAGAAGGTGGAGCAAGTTTTGTTGGAACATGCCAATGTGGAGATTTGTTAGTTTGGCAAGTCCCATAGTCCCACATCGGGAAAATCAGACTTGTTGTCTCGTCTTGGAACTATAAATAAGGGCCTGAGCTTTGAAGTCAGATGCATCACATGCACCACAAGAGGTACCATAAGTGGCACCACAAGAAAAACCTAAGTGTTTGCTTTGGTTTAAATTCATACTTAGTTAAATAGTTTGGACTTATAGTTTGATTTTTCTTGTTTAGTATTTTCGGGTGTTTTATGGCCTAGGAACATCTTCCTAAGGCATTTGTAATTGTCCCTCTTTTGCAGTAGTAATTTGCTCCTCTTTCGTCCGTGGATGTAGGTCAAAGTCAATTGACCGAACCACGTATATCTGGTGTTCTGGTATTCTTGTCTCGCTTTTATTCTTTCCGTTTTATTGTCTTGTTGGGTTGCCAAAATTACCTTGTGATAAATTTCCTGGGGCTAGCTCTAACATATATATATATATATATTTATTTATTTATGTAGTAGGTGTTCAAATAAAAAAATCATGCTAAATGCAGGTCATCTGCAGTCATAATTTTGTCTGATATAACCCTGACATGGGGGCAATACATTCTTATATGCCAATTGATATGGACATTGTCTGTGTAATCTCATGGTGGTTGCACATATACTGTGGTTCTTTAATTTCGAGGATGGGTGCTTTAGCTTGAAGGCTTTGATACTGCTTTTTGATGTGATGGGAAAGCTGTCTTTGTTGCAATTGCTCCTTCCGAGCTATGCACAGAGTTTGTGGAGCTGGCAGAATGAATGGGTTTATCATCGTTTCTCACAGGATGTGATGTGTGGTGTTAATGGGACAATGGGAAGTGAGACAAAAGACTGCCACCAATAAACAATATTTGTAATTCCTACTTTGTTTAATTTTTTCCTATAGCGTATCAATCTTATACTTGTTAATAAGAGAATATACATGAACAAGGTAATATATATATATATATATATATACATACTAGATTTCATCTGTAAGTTAATAAACTTAAATCCTTATCGGTCTAACTAAATCTTAAAATATCAATAATACTTTCCATCTGTGTAAAAAATGGACATTTTCATCAAAAGAACATATTCCAGACTGGACTGTCAGGCCCGATTAACCGATATCCTTATCAGCAGCTTTATACACATCGAATCGAGTCTGCAGATGTCCAGGGGAAAAAGAAACAAAACAAAAGGTAATCCAGATTTGGTTTGGGTCTGGCCCAGGCACTAGACCTGATCTTTTATGTTTCTTTCAGATTGTTTATTGGGCTTCGTCCACTAGAAACCTGGACATCTCTAACAGTCAAATAACCTCCTACCTAGCTGTTATTTCAGAACCAGTTCAAATAACCCACTAAATCAAAGACCAAATAAGAGGAAGAGAAAATATCTTAGCATTGACAACTGAAGGAAAGACAGGGAAGTCTCAACTTGATATGAGGATGAAAAAGTAGAGTTCGGAATGTTTCTAAACATTATTAGACCGAGCCTGATACAACAACAGGTCTCAATAAAAGTAGGTAATAAAATATATATATATATGGAGCGACATTTCATGCGGCCAGGCAGTTTACAGTATGTGCTCAGTGACAGATAGTGAGTGTTTAGAATATATTTACTACATATAAAGGCAGTGGGGATCCATTAGCTTGAAAGCAACTCACTTGCTTACATGGTAGATGCTTTGACAAAGCTTGAAAATCTGGAGCATTCATCTTTGACAAGATCTCGAGGATTTCCTTGTTCAACCTGCAAAATGAACATTCAGACATGTTTACCAACTAATAACACTGTAATTTCTTTGAGTAAAACCATCAATTTGAGGCGTCCCTCGTTTTGCAATGTTGAAACGTCAGACTCGCTAGCAAAATCAATGATCAGGGCTATTAGTTAATGTAAGGCGGCAAGTCCTGGAATGCAGCAGACTAACACCTATTATCAAAGTCCTAAAATTAGATTATAAACTTGATGTTACTCAAAACTCCATATACCACTGAAGTAGGTCTCGTAAAAGACTTGGGAGTGTTTGTTTGCCCACAACTGAAGATGCCTGTAAGTTGTCGTTACAGACATAAATGTTTGGATGCCTGCATGTATATTTGCCACTTGCAGGTACAACTAAGGTAAAGGATGCAATGGGAATGCCTGGAGAGAAAGGAGATGACAATCATGCTGTCTAAAGAAGAATAGTGGGGGCAATGTGTAAGGAGGTAATGCGTCAAAGAATCAAGAGTATCCGAATCTAATTTTGACCACCTACCTTTTCAAACCACATGCCCACTTCTGATATGTAGGAATATAGTTGCACATACATGTGCTACGAGTGGTTTATTTGCAGGCAACCAAATGATTGCAAGGCAACTTACTGCAAAATGACTTGCAAGCAGTCCACTTGTAGGCACCCAACACCCCCCTTGATAATAAAGGTAAAGAATCATCAATAGGATCTGAGGATCTTGAACCCTATCATAGTATCAAACCGTAATGCATGTTCCTCAATTAACTTCGAGAAGTCCTTCATGCAACCTACATTTGTCTATTCAAGTCTCCACTAGAAGTCTGCAAGTGGCAACAAAGGTGTGGTTTGCAGTTAATCACAAACCAACACATAGTAACCACATTTAACACTGAAACCAACCAGATAATTTTGGCAAAAAACTTCGAATCACTCTATAATGATCTCCCCCAGATGCAAATATTTGACAAGCTTAATCATTTATAGCAGAATTTACCGTGAATCACGAGAGCCAAAATAGCATCAACAGAGGTTGACGACGAATAGATGTATGATATAATAACTAACCTGTTAACCACTGGCCCAAAAATCTTAAGCACAAGTTAAAACTAGTAGACCACCCTTGCCCTATAAACCAATTCAAATTTCCTCCTAATATTTGACATGGAACTAAATTGGGGTAATCTCTATTCTCTACCGGTTAAGGTTTGACATCCTTGTGGATGCCTTGGAATTGAACCCTAATATGGGACGCATGAATGGTGTCTTCATGTTGTCATGTGCCTTTACCCCAACCCAAGGACAACCAATTTTCTACTCGGATTCATCCCTCATCATGCTCAATATCAGGTCTTCTCCAATACCATCTATTGGATGTAATGTTTAAAAAAAGCATGCAAAAATTTGCCAACCATTTTGAACTTATTGCTGAATTTATGACATGTAGCTGGTTTAATTGCATAGACATTTAATATAAGCATATAATTGTTATATATATTTATTATATGATATGCAACCTTGATGGATCGTCAGAGTAATATATGAAATATTAATAAAAATGTATGAGACAGAAATAAAAAATACAACATATTTCTTTAACGAAAATAAAAGTTGTTTTGGTGACCAAACAAGCATGGCTTGTCGAAACTACGACATGTAGCTGATTTAATTGCATATACATCTTTAATCTAAGCATATAATTGTTGTAAATCCTTTGTAGATCCTCTGTAAATCCTGAGTATCTAATGCAACTTTGATTGATTTTGAGACTAATATATGAAATAGTAATAAAAACATTGTGACACTGTTTGGCTACCAGAATTTATCATTTTCTGAAACATAAATGTTTGAAGTATGAACTTATTTGATGCCAAGTTATCTGAATATATTAGGTGGATAAGGCTATCGCTTACCAGAATCCCATGATCAAGCACTAAGATAAGGTCCATGTTCAATACTGTAGAAATGCGATGTGCTATTGTGACAACGGTTGTGCCCTTGCACTCATTGGAGATTGTACTTTGTAGAATCAGTGCTGTTTGAGTGTCAACATTTGCTGTGCATTCATCCAAGCAAAGTACCTGCAAAAGGAATAATTTGTCTGTTCAGCAATACTATAAGAGGGGTCAATTACAAAGAAAGTATAAATTCACTAAAAGATGCATTGTCAGAACTGTGTGCTGTACTATACACACCAGACTATACAGAAGTAACACAACCATTTCCTAAAACTTAGAGCCAGTTGTATCTCAGCTTGAAGTGCTATCTTCTCATGTAATTTATTGTAAATAACCTCATACATCAAATTCAAACAAGCATTCATTTAAAAAGTCTTATACTGGTGATAGCTCAAGAATGTTAATCTTGAACCTGCTATATGCAATTACTTGTGAATGTCGTTCCACATCCAGTGGAGATTCATATTAACTATAACTTGTTATCACTTTATCTATAGGACAGATTCTTTTGAAGAAAAGTATATCTATAGGATTAATTATCTACTGATAATTATCCCATGCAACAATGAAGCAGGATTCTTTATCTGATCAAATCTGTATCTGCTGATAGTACATTTTAAAAAAATTGTTAATGATACATGCACATAAGTATGCTTTACCATATATACCCTATACAATCAGATACAGCTGAATTTGTTTAGGACTACTGCAATCCATTAGGGCTACAGCCCTTTCATTTACACCTTCAGGATGCTGAAATCTGTACTCTTATCTCAAGATTGCAGCCAATACAGTATCACTCATCAAAATTCATGATTTTCCTTGAATGCCAAAAATGGATATTTAAGCTCCAAAATTTGTCATTGCAGAGTATCATCTAATTTATCAATGTCCATAATCATATGTGTCCCTACTTGTATGTTTGGATTCCCCCATGATATCCACCTCACGTTTTACTGTCAGTAAACTGATAAGAAAGTTGCAACTAAGGACAACCTTACAAAGCCCTCCAATTCAACATTCCATTCGAAGCCTGGACACAACCTCTATTCTCCAGACTTGAGTTGCAGCCTCACTTTAAGTTGAGATGGGTCAGGTAGAGATTGACTGGACCACTAGTACTACTTTTATTATAAACATTCCTTTTAATTAATTAACACTATAAGAGTTCAAATTCAAGTTTGAACCCTTTCCCAAAAGCTTAATCTATTGTGATAAGCAGTCATCTAAGGTCGTATAAACTAGAGAAGATTATAAGTTCGATTGCTGTCTCATCTTGTTCTTATGCCCAGTGCTTAATAGCCTGTGTATGGGCCTCTTCGTGAGAAGCTTGTTGTTAGAACCGTTGCAGATTCTAAACTTGGGGTTGATCTCTTTAGGGGATCGGCCTCCTTGGAACTCTATAGGGGTTCCTCCCTCCAAGTTGCTGCTCAAAGGCTGCAAAAACGATTAATCTATTACTTATGAATAAAGGAGGAATACATGGCTATTTATAGGGCTTCTAAACCCTAACTCCTAATATGACTCATACTCAAGACTCTTGCTTTTAACCAACTCCTAATAGAACTCCTACTCAAGACTCTTATTCCTGAACAACTTATAATTCTTCTCTAAGAAACAATCTCCTAACCCTAGACGGCCTCTTCACCTCTTTAATATGGGTCGGCTTAGGTAGGTTTTACATGAATGTCCCTCTCAATTAGGACTCTCCTAGCTAAAGTCCTAACAGACTCGCCCTCTTCAAATCAGCCTTGTCCTCGAGGCTGACGATTCATGAATTCTGATAATTTGATATTCAAGTCGTCATAGTTCTCCCAAGTGGCATCTTCTGTTGGTAGGTTCGCCCACTGTATTAGCACTTCAGTAGTGGGTCGTCGTCATCGAGTCACAATCTGTCGATCAATAATGGCACTTGGCTGGGTCTGGAGTTCTCCTTGAGTAGTCATATTTGGTGGGTGGCTTTGGGCTGTCTCCAAGCACCTATTTATAACTTTCGTCTGGCCGTCGGTTTGTGGGTGATATGTTGTACTCCTTTTCAATTTAGTATCCTGCATATGGAATAACTTTGTCCAAAATCTGCTCGTGAAAATGCAAGTAAAATTTGTCACAAGCACAATGCGTCCCTTATAGCGTAATTCTTTTGAGTCCCAATTGTAATAAGCCACGGAGCTTAGTGCTTCCTCCAATTTTTTTATGATCTTACTGGTCTCCGGATCTTCCTGCCATTCCCTCTTAATATCCTTAAGGAAGTCACTAGTCGAAAGTGAAATGGCCAAAAATTCAGCTTGCTTAGGTAGTCGTGAAAGCGTATCTGCAACAACATTCTCTTTCCCCTTTTTGTAAGTTATTTCATAATCATATCTAAGAAGCTTTGTTACCCATTTTTGCTGCTCAGGGGAAGATATCTTCTGCTCCAAGAAATATTTTAAGCTTTTATGGTCGGTCTTGATTTGAAAGCATCACCTGATCAAGTACGATCTCCACCTCGTTGCTGCGTGTACAATGACGAGCATCTCCTTATCATATGTTGACATATTTTGATGGAAGGGAGACAATGCCTTGCTAGTGTATGTGAGTGATCGACCATTTTGCATGAAAACGTCTCCAATTCCAACTCCAGATGCATCGGCCTCAATGATGAAGGGTCGGCTGAAATCTAGTAGCGCTAGCACCGGCATCATCGTCATGGTTGCCTTAAGTTTGTCGAAGGCAGCGGAGGCTTTGTCCGCCCATTGGAAGGTATCATTTTTCAGTAGAGAAGTGAGTGGTGCACTGATCTTTCCATAGCTTTTCATGAACTTACGGTTGTAGCCTGTTAAACCGAGAAAGTCACGTAGCAATTTTATGTTCCTCGGGGTTGGCCAGTTCTGCATTGCTTCTATTTTGGAGGGGTCCACCGTCACACCTTCCTCTGATATGATATACCCAAGATATTCCACCTTTTGTTGAAGAAAGCAAAAATTCGTAGTGGCCGTTGTGTGTTCGAAAGGCAGTTTTCGATGTCTTCTTTGCACACTCATATTTGATGATACCCGGATCGAAGGTCCAGCTTTGTGAAGATTTGTGCTCCCTTTCATCTAGCAATTCATCTACTACTGGAATAGGGTATTTATCCTTGATCGTTATGCCATTGAGAGCTCGATAATCAACGCATATTCGCCATGTTTCGTCCTTCTTATGTACAAGTAGCATCGGTGAAGAGTAGAAGCTAGAATTTAGCCGAATAATTCCTGTTTCGAGCATCTCTTTTATAATCCTTTCTATTTCATCCTTCTAGAGATGTAGATACTAATATGGCCGAGTATTTGCTGGAGATTTGCCGGGAAGAATCGTTATATAATGATCATGCCGACGGGTAAGAGGTAGGTTGTACGGTTCGTCAAATATATCTAAAAATTCAGCAAGTAAAGGAAATAGGTTTGGATCTTCAAATCCTATTGGCTCTCCCTTAGTTTGCTGCTCAAGTTGTACCAAAAAGCTACTGTATGCTTTATGCAAAACCTTCTCCATTTGTTGTGTGCAAATCGTCGTTACGTCGCCCCCACGTTTCCCGTGCAGTATCGCCTGCTTCTCTTTACTGTAAAATTTCATAATTAGTTTTATAAAATTCCAAGAAACATCACCTAATGTCGTCAACCATTCAATTCTGAGCATGGCCTCATGATCATCTAGAGGGAGGAGGAAGAAATATGCAATTATCTCTTGGTCCTACAGCAAAAGTTTCACTCGCAGGCACCTACGATCATACTTCAAAATCCATCCGTCGACGACCTTAACATCAAACCTGCTGCAATTCTCGATAGGTAAGGCCATCTGGACAGCAACCTTACTGTTTAGGAAGTTATTAGTGCTGCCCGTGTCGATGAGAACAGTGATCGGTTGTTGTTTGAGAAGGCCTCCAACTTTCATCGTTTGTGGGTTTAAGTAGCCGGCTAGTGCATGTACTGTAACTTCGGTCAGTTGTGGCTCTTCTTCTGCATCTTCTTCTTCATGTTCAAGGCTCTCTTCTGGAAGTTCAATGACCTCTTCTTCTACTGGTTCAATCATAAGAAGTCTCCCTTTACTACAACGATGCTCACGGCTCCACGGCTCGTCGCAGTGCCAACATAACCCCTTCGTAGATCGCTCCCGAAGTTCTTCTCTTGTCAAACTTTTTGGTGCAGGGACTCGGTTGATAGTAGGGGGGCTGAGGGCTTCGATATTGCTGGTTGGGAACCAACCCTAGTCCTCCGGGCTTCATGGTTCAATCGCTCCTCTTAAAATCATGCGAAAGAGATGGCTGCCCTAAGCGTATACGGTTGTCGCGCTTTAACTTCTCGGATCTCCGGCTTCAAGCCCTCAATAAAGGTCCCCAATAGCTGTTTTTGAGACCAATCACGAGTTTGATTAGATAACCTTTCAAACCTGGTTTGGTACTCTTGAATGGTGGAGGTTTGTCGGATCTTTGCTAGTTGTCCGTCAATGTTCTCGTAATCGGTTGGTCCAAAGCGGATCAGCAATCCTTCGTTGAATTGTCGCCATGAGAGGACTCCATGAGTGTGTTCAAACCAGTCAAACCACTGTATGGCATCCCCTTCAAGATGTATAGCTGTAATTTTCACCATAGATGCATCTACGGTTTTGTGGTACCGAAAATATCGCTCCGCGCACGAGATCCAACCAATTTGGTCTCCTTCCCATATAGGGAAGTCCACTCTCATGCGTGGATAGTTGGGGTCGATCATAGAGCCTCCCCTCTCTTGGAAGACATCTCTTCGGGCTTGGTGCAATTGGTTAGAGCTCTCTCCTTGATATGATTTCTTCGGGCTTGGTGGTCGGCCCAAAATGAGTTTGGTAAAGAGAGTCTGAATCTTATCCTCCATTTGCGCCTCGAAGGCTTCGAATTTAGCATTAATAACCTCCTCAGATGCCATAGTATATACCTCCAAATCTGTGATGTTAAAATCTCTCTTTTGTTGTTGGGTTAAAGGCATGTATAGGTTGAGAGAAGTGATGGTTGAAAGGGTTGGTGGATTGGTGGATGTAGGCTACGGTTTAGGCTTGTTTTGTGGCTGTTTTGGGTGCAGTTTGAGGGTGTGATTTGGTCGAGTTTTAGGGCTATGGATGAAAGCTTTAGATCTGTGGTAGATGATAGCAAAGGTTTGATAAAAATCAATGGAAGTTTGCTGCAGAATTGTGTTATCGTGTAAGAGCAGAATTGTCGTCGAAGAAACAACGATTTCTCGATGAAATTTCCACCAAAAATTTGAGAAATTTGAGGAGAGAATTCACAGCAAAATCTCAGTTTATATGACAGCAAGGATGTCCAATTTAATCAAGAAAATTTTGGTAGTATAACAGCAAGGAAATTGGTGCAAGTTGCGATAGCAGAATTCTCGTCGAAAAATTTCGACGGTTTGCGACGAAAATTTGCAGCAACATAAAATCGTTTTTAAAGATGAATTCCTCAATAGATCAATCTTAGATGGAAGCCAAGATAATCTATGAAGTATATAAGAAATTTTATTCAAAAAAGATTGCAAATAGAAGGGTTAAGACAACAATATGTGGCTGAAATTTTCTGCATCACAGATTTTCAAGTGTAGCAGATTGGACGTAAAAAATCAGTGGTTTATATAAGAATTTTTCGACGAAACCAAAGGAAAATCCACTGTTAGGAAGTTTCAAAGCTATCATAAAAATTTCATAGAGATTTGGACAGAAAAAATGTAGTAGCAAGATCAAACAAACTGTGCTATGCGGTTGGAATTTTACAGTGCAGATTTTCAAGTATAACAGATTAGACGTAAAAGATCAATGGTTTATATTAAGAATTTTTTGACAAAACCAAAGGGAAATCTGCTGTTAGGAAGTGTCAAAACTATTATAAAAATTTGGTAGAGGTTTGGATAGAAAA